CTTTCTCTTGTTCTCTCATTTCCTTTTACTTTTTGTTTTTTGTTTTTTTCATTTATTATTATTATTATTATTATTATTTTGCCGCCTAGAATAAAGTAGATGAGAAAGAAAAAGAAGGGAAAAGAAGGGGAAATTCAGCCATTGCATCATTTGAGATGAGGTTAATGGATTTGAAGGGTAGATGGAAGAGTGTGAAGGCTTACCTTACGGCTGATGCTTATTTTTCGAAATTCAATTGTACCCGCTCCATTTTAATTATCTTCAGTTCTTCACACAATTTCATTTTGTGCACATACTTATTTTTATGTAGTATATAAATGATTATTTAAGTTATTTTATGTGATTTCTGTTAAATAATTTTTTATACAATATAAATATTTTATTAATTATTACTACTTTATAAGTTATATATTTATTTAAAAAATATGTGACAGATCATCAGTATTTGTGAAGACTGACCCCGCGCCCTAACTGAGAAAAGACAAGATGGAAGAAAATGTACAGAAATTCTACCTTCAATAATGGGGACAGGATGAACCGGTCTTGTGGCTCAATGATTAATCTTAAGTTTTAAGTGTTTGGGTGAGGTGGTTAGAACTTTAAACTCCATCACCGTCATGAATTTTATCAAAAAATGGCTTGATAACCGTGTGTCTTATTTGAGGGGTGGAATGCTCACTTGATCTGAGAATCAATTACTAACAATTAACTCATTAAATTCCTAATCATTACTTTTATAAAAAAAAATAATAATAATGGGGACAGGACTGGCTAGTGGCTTCCTTGATATGGCGGGCTGGACTTTTACCCATCCTAAGAGAAAACAAAGACAAATTATCTTATGTAGTTTAATGGTAAAATTATTTATGTTTTTAATTAAATATTTAAATTTTAAATTTTAATTTTTATATAACAAAAAAATATTTTTATTATTAAAAATTTGATTAAATTAATATTTATTAATTAAAAATTTTTAATTTAATGTCAAAGTCAAAATTAAAATTTTTGTAATGTCAACTATTTAATTTTTTTTAATGTACAAGAAAATAAAAAGACAAAGCCATGAAATTAAAAAGTTTTTCCCCAATATGGGTATAAAGGCCCTTTACTTTTAAGAAAACAGTAACTTTATGCAAGTGAAATCTGTATGGCTCCGATTTCATGCTCATTGCTGGGCAAGCAAGAATATAATCCAGAGGGAGACAGAAATTCCGAAGTCCCCACATTTTATAGAAAGAAGAGTGTGAATGACTGAATGCGATGACCTGACGTGAGCTTACTTTACCAAATTTAAATGTCTTACTATCATTTAGCAAAAATTAAACCTACAGGTAGTAGATGGGACACGGAAATTCCAGCTTCATTGATAGGGCAGGACTGGTTTCGTGACGCATCCAAGAAATAGGAAAACAAAGCTATAAAGTCATGAAAGAAGGTCATGGGCCGCAAGGAAGCAAGCTTGGGAAGACTAGTTATCCCATCACCCAATTTTTCATTGTTTGATCAGGTAAATGCACTTTATTTTTAAGATGACATGAACTTTCTTCAAGTGAAATCTGGAAAGATTGGTTCTTTTCCATAAATGGGTTATGTGAAGAGTTTGCAATTTTCTCCAATTTGATGCTTATTAATGGGGAAACAACAATATAATCTCGTAATGGGGTTTCATTACCGTGTATTTCTTCTTCTATGCGGGCTTACATTCATCAATTTTAACTACCACATGTTCTAATTTACTACCAGATTTCATGGTAACTTTATCTCGTTTGTAGCAAGAGATTACATCGAGATTTCATGTGTATAATATTCTATACCAAATTGTTCTATAAGATTTCATCGAGCTCATATGTGTATAATATTCTGTACCC